ACGTTTTGCGAATAAGCGACAAAGAGAATGGAAACAAGTGCGCGTGTGGTAGTGAGTAGCCTGATGCGATGCTTCTCAATGTAGCGACTAATACACGCGCACTTGTTTCCATTCTCTTTGTCGCTTATTCGCAAAACGTATGCCCACACTTACTACGGTGTCATATTTAGAAGCTAAGTGTGGAGTCGCGCTTGGGAAGTGATCATGCTTGACTTGAAAGATCAACATCAAATTATAACTCAATGAAGAAATAATTTATGCACTCAATTCAAGACAGGAGACGTTCTGGCAGAAAATCAAACATACAATCATCGCGAATACTGCATCAAAGTCTCATCCAACGAAACGAAAGGAATCTATTTAGAGGCAAAAATATGCTTGCCAAACGATGAGATAAAAGATCCTCCACCTGTGCCCGCAAGTTTTTCCTATTTGCCTTATGGTAAGTGCTGCCATTCAAATGAATGTGAACAATAGCATGGTGCTAATACGGATATCTTTTCAGTGCTATTCACATCGATTCCATTCTTGATCGTCACATTTCTGGTCTACATTTGCATATCCGAGCTGCGTAATTTGCATGGCAAATGCTTCCTTTGTTACTTGGTTTGTTTGATGGCGATGTACATTCTCCAAGCTTTGGAGCAACTCAATGGCACGGACTACGTTGATGAGACCATGCGTAAAATAAGGGCCACTCTCTTGTATTTCGCAACTTTCTCAGCTTTTCTGTGGTTAAACGTGATCAGTTTCGATTTGTGGTCAAGCTTCCGGTAAAACATTTATTCTCTTTCAAATTAACTTAATTTAAACATTCCGTTCTTCATGACCATCAGGGTTGAACCAAATTCAGAAAGAAAGCGGTTCATATTGTACAGCCTGTATGCTTTTGGTGGATCGTTGCTTGTGAATATTGTTGGCCATGTAATGGATGCAATCGATGGGCTACCGGATTACCTACAGCCAGGCATTGGCACCGATTCGCTCTTTCTCAAAGGTTAGTCATCAAAAGCTCTTTGTAAACTCGTCTTAGCCAACAAATTGACTGGCTGGTTTTTGAATTACCGGAACAGTGTTTCTGATTCACAAAACATAAAATTTCATTTCAGAAAATTTTACATCACGAATCATTTTCTACTACGGGCCACTTTGCATCATTGTCACAGTGAATCTTCTGTTCACGATTCTAACTGCAATGAAAATTTTCGAAATTCAATGGGATTTGAAGAAAATGACATTGCAAGTCAAACGTAACGAACTTGAAAAAGGGGTAAAACACCAAACGGATAGGTAAAATTTCCGCATATTTTGGTCTTCATACTAAATGAAAGTTATCTTATCTTACTTTCTCTTTCAGTTATCTATTGTACATACGATTGTTCATCGTAACTGGGGTCACCTGGATCGCTGAAGCAGTCTGGTTTCTTGCGAATAATGATCTCGTTTTCTCCGCAATGGATATTATCAATTGTGCACAAGGAATTCTCATTTTCGTATTATTCGTGTTGACACCTCGAGTCTTCCGTTTAATTAAGAAGAGGTTTGTGAGCGTCACCTGCTGAAAAGAATTCAGATAAGGCCCTTACTCTTTCTTTCTTTCTCATTTCAGTTGGCAAACTTATTTGGACAGACATTCTACTGATCAAAGTGTAAGAACAAACACCAATGCATCCACAGAAACAACAATTTAAACAGATACACCAACAATCAAAGATGACAATTTTCTCAAATCGAACGAAAGAAACTATTGTTAATTTCTTAGTTAGGAAGGAAGACAATTTTCTCTCACAAAATTAATATACACTTACTTTAACCTATTTCAAAATAAATGTGTTTTGTTTCTCTTTATTTTCTCGCGGATTGGACCGTCAATATTGAATTTGTGACGTCAAACTTTCATCAGTTTTGATCTTTTCTTGCTAAGCTTATAACCAAAGATAAAAAGATATGAAATAAACTAAACTTGGACGGAAAAGGATTGATGTTCATGAACATGATTGTCGCTATCAGCATTTTTTTGGTTTATGGAAACAAAATTGGATTTAATTTTGTATAATCCATCTGCCATTCGAATTGAAAATGCTTAATGAATGACTAACAGACTAAACTTGAAGAAAATTGTGAAGCTGCAAAAACTATTGTTAAGATCTATTGTCACTTGTCCGAGAAAAATGAATATTTATTGAGTCACGGCAAAGCAGAACGTGTTATGGGCTGATGTCAGCAGCACTAACTGACATCAGCAGCTGATATCAGCTCAAAACACGGCAAAGGAATGGGATGCATTGGCCATTCGTAACAAGAATCGTTGAAACTTCAAACTTTTAAGTGTTTTTTTCTTCAATAAAACAAATAACTAGTGGAGATATATATTTGCCATTAATTTATTCTTATTCTATATATTCACACAATACTTATTCATATTAATATGAAACATAAATATTCAGATAATATTTACGGCATTTGTAGGCTGAGCAATGAGCAATGAATTGACTATCTATGTACCGTCTACTGTTTAATAGCAGCTGTTGATGAATAGGTAATTGCGACGCATTTGCAGATATAATTGCGGGACATTTGTTTCAATTGCAGACTTACTAACAATATTTATTCTATTTTTTCAACACTAGTGTTGCCATCTTGAATATTCCCACAAATTTATTTGCAAATACGCATTTCGTTTGCCAACAATTGCGAAGTATCAACGAGAACTAATAACATTTGGTTTTTGTACTTTGTCCCTGGAAGGAATATTATTAGGAATACGAGCTTTTTGAGCTGCAACGTTAGTTTTATTTTCATTAAACAATTTGAAGCGATTAAAATTTTCTCACAAACAATTTACTAAAGAAGTGTTTCGCGTTCTGTAGAAAATGTGTTGGAGCAAATTTGTTTGATTTTAATCAGCAAACATTAACACACGTTCCCCTTGTTTTGTGTAACGCCTTACATGGTGGACATTGCGCCACTCCAACATGGTATCCTCCAGTGTGTGTATATACAGCGGGGGAATCATGTACTTTTGCAGTCGGTTGACGTCTCCCTAGAATCCGAAGAAACGTTTTAATTTATATCAAATATGAACAAAATTTGTAAAATATAACCACCTGGAGTCCATCTTCCATTGGACTGAGTATCACTCGGGGTACACTCTGAAGCGATCACAAGTGTAATAATCAATAGAATGCTCATGATTTTTCTCCCGGACACCATTTTGTTGTCTTGTTTTCGACTCAATTAGCTCTTAAAAAGTGATAAACACTCCGATACTCTATTTTATTATGTAATAGTATGGACTTTTAGTGCACTCAATAACAATGTAACAAATCGTACACCAGTGTTTATGTAACAAAAGATTTCTTCCAATTTTCAACTTTCTAATTGTAACTCTAGCGAATAGTTGTGATCGACTGACTAAGAGTTCTAATCACTGCCCCTATTTCGAGCAAACAACTTTTCAATTAATATTTCTTAACGATAATGTGGTAAGATACATGGCACACGTCTGGGCATTGCGCATTATGCCACAACAAACTCGTTCGAAGCATGCCCAAGATGCAAGCTCAGTCGACTTTTTCTAGTTGTTGATTTTGCACGTGTTGCACTTGAATTATTGCCTATTTATGCGATTAGTATTTCTTGTCGTGATACGACGATTCTAATACTCGAAGCCAACGTAAATGCGTTCGTTGTAAATTACTTGTGATCCATAGAGGACATCCATGACTCTATACACTTGAACAATCCGTGATTAACTATTTTTTTTTACAATTATTGTGGTCCAAACTGATTTATCATGGTAAGGTATATGCTCCCAATAGCTCAAAATTAAATTGGGCTTAAAACTAACTGATTCCCATTTTCAGATTAAAAAAATGTTAAAATCTAGTGGTCGAAAGAGCCGTACTTAAAAGAAACTTCTAGAAAATTTTAGTTCTGAGATTATTCGATTTTTGTCATCAGCATAGTCAATCTTAAGGTAATTTGAGGCGCCGAGTTCAAATTTAGTGTTAAAAATACACTTGGAACCATGTATTTTTGCTATATGGCTGAAATTCAGCCGCTGAATTTGTTTAAAAAAAAACCATGTTTTTGTACTAAAACTTTTTTAAAAAGCAACATTAGCTAATTTTTGACAACGGATTCGTGTTTAGCGTCCCAAAAAATCCTAAAAGTGATATGTCACCAGATTTGATTTGAATAACTCATGGGTTTTCTATAATATATAGAAATAGGTCAAAAACAGCCATTTTAAGTACGGCTCTTTCGACCACTAGATTTTAACATTTTTTTTAAATCTGAAAATGGGTATCAGCTAGTTTTGAACCCAATTTAATTTTAAGCTATTGGGAGCATATACCTCACCATGATAAATCAGTTTGGACCACCATAATGTTGATGGAATAGTCTAGGGGGAAAGAACTGAAATAATGGCGATTATAAATTCTGTAAAGTTATTATAGTGAAAGAATAGTTTTAAATTTCATGTAATGCAAAAAGTGCATGATAAGAGTTTCACTCATCGTTCTCTAGATAAAAAATACACAATTCAACAAGTATTTTTCTAGTTATTCATAAAGTTGAATATTAATTAGTAATATTTCATGTGAACGATGGAATGTATTTATAAAACCGGTTTATTGAGAAAATAATGAAATGATCAAAAGATATTTGTATGAGTCTCTCAGCTGTCATTGCAAACTGTACGTTTATCTCTTTTTCCTGTTCTATAAATTTCATATTCAAAAATATTCATATCAATAAGATGTACAATTGTACATTCACATTCATGACGCCGGCCCGTGTTTCTTTGCATATATGCATTTAAGCGTGTGC